ATCTGCACGCATATTACGAAAATACGTTACGACGTCCTAGGCCCCTCGGTGGGGCCCGACTAGTAACCAATGCCAAATCCGGCGAAACAACTGGCCGCTGTGATACAATTGTATAATATTAATAATAATAATAATAAACAACTTAGACTTTATTCATTCAAACTAACAAAGAGACAATGAATTTGAATTTTACCTGTAACTCTAAGATCTGTCACACTGTTTGCCATCTTAAATCCGTACGTCATAGACTGAAAATCTTCCTAAATACAAAAGTGGGCAGGGGGTGGAGTGAAGAGAGTTTTGCAGTCAAAACATACTTGCCACAAGTAGCAATTTGCTTCACAGAATTTCTGCAAGAAGCATGTTAGCCTGCATTTGTACCACTAGATATTTTCAGAAAACACTCAAAATGTTAGGAATTAATATTATTCCCACTTCTATATGACTTGTTCCACAGCACACATTTTATGTAGTTTCCTAAATAATACCATAAACTTTATAAAAAGGGAAGCTTTACTAGTGATTTCAGGCTTAATTTATGAAAATATAGTTTAAATGAACTGCATTTTCCTAATTCAAAAGTTACAAGAAATCTTGTTTTCAACTGAAGGAGAGATTTAGTTGTTTTAGACACAAGCCTTTCTAACTTTGATTTATTCATAATAAAAAAGATAAAACTGCATATACTTTTAAAGAAAATTTATATGGCTGCCTAACACACTCCCAGATTTTCTTGGTGTTTTCAGTTATATGAAATACTTCCAACTGAGAAAGGGCAAACCTGTTATAACAGCACTCAGTACAAAATGAGGGATACATCAAGCACAAAGGAATGAAGAGTTTTGCATCTATACATGTAAGCTACCCTACGCAACTATGGAAGAAGATGTTCCAGAAAGTGTATCTTTAACTGAAAGCAAGAGAAGCTTATAAATTACAGCAAATAAAATGTAAAAGCAAATTTAGTATCTTGAGAAAGAGCTCACTATAATTAAAAAGACAAAGATACTAAGAGATAAGAAATAATGGATTAAAAACTATAAAAATAGCCAACTACATCTCGAAGGAATGCAAGTTTATTGAAAAAGAGAAAACATTAAACCAAGAAGAAACTCACCTCTTCAAATACTGCTGCTTTGTTTACTTTTTCTCTAGCAATATCGCAAATTTTCAGGATACCCAGTGCAAATGCCTTCATAGTAGGATCCTCAATAAAGTCAGGATTATGAATGTAGAGGCAGGTGAATACTGTCTGTGCCAAGGAATGGCCTTCTAGCCACGTTATCTGAAAATATTGAGAAGGTAATAAGGGGCATCAGAATATTTAAGACAACAACAACAACAAAATCTCGTTTTGTCCTGAGCATGGAAGAAACATTAAAAAAATTTCTTGCTTTGCTATTCAGGTAGAACTCTTGAAAATGCTACTTTGAGCCTGGAATATTTTTCAGTTGTGGTATAAATAATACATGGGTATAACAACATGCAGAGACACAAACCCCTCTCATTGAGTATCTACTTAAATATCCTACCTAAGACTATGATAACGCTTATACCTATGGTGACCATATTTTCTTGGAAAAAAACTAAAAGATAAACCTGAAAAAGGGACAAGCCTAAAAGAGGTTCATAAAGATAACAAAAATTAATCATGCATACTTATAACATTGCTTTACAAAAGAAAACAAGAGTGAAACCAAGAAAATAATGAAATGAAAAAAAATCTAAAGGGCACCTTGCTATCCCTTATAATAAAGGGAATACCACTCTACTCTAGTTTTGACTAGATTCCATTTACTTTGATTAGGGCCAAGTGGTTGATGATGTTATGGTGCAATGTTCTAGTACAGCCATAAGAATCCTACTCTAGCCAGAGCCTTTGTAATATGGACCATTATGTGAGGGGGGGGGGGAGACACCAGATAAATCCCTTCCTATTTCTATCCAGAATATTGTATTCTACTGTGCCTTTCAATTCCATTCATGGGCTGCACTGACATATGGTTATCCATCTTGGTCCCCTATTATAAAAGAAACTGGTTGTACCCACCCTATACTATTATCATGTATGGAGAGGAAAAGTTTTTGTAAGTTCAAAATAGGAATTCCGCTTTATTAAAGTTGTGTCCAAACACAATGGCTTTAGAAATTATTTGTTTCAGAAAACACACCAACTTAATTTTCATGCACAATGAATACTATTTTATCACAAGCAGTCTTATTATCTTTAATAAGATCTACTCTCTAAATCAGGTTTTTGGAGCTACAACCTTGAAAATGAGTTAATAAATTGGACTTATTCAGAATTAAAATATTCTGGTTAGAACCCGGGCACAAACTGCTTCAGTTCTGCTTTTATTAATCCAAAACCTACTTTAAAGGTTTAAAGAAAGAAGTTATTTCCACTCAAGCAACATTAAAAATATTACATTCTTACCAAGCAGCAAAAGCAAGTGTCCATTATTCCTATCAGTTCAGGCAAGGATAAGTCTTTAACTTTAATGGTCCCATCCTTTAAAAGAACAAGGGGGAAAACATGAGGTTTCTATTAGTAATAAGTGAGAATAAAATTGTGAGGAAATATTTCCATTTACTGTTGCAATTACTAGCTGAGGCAAGGGATTTGGTTCTCTCCTGACAGGCAAAACTGACCTATGAAGGAGAGAAAAAAGGACAATCTACTACTGTAGCAGTTTTTCTTATCAGTCAGTATTGTAATCTCAAGCCTCAGTGTGCTCCCTAACATATTTTTTTGTGATCCCGGGACTTCTCTCCAACTATCTCTCTGAAAACGTGATGTTTGTTTCCTATTGTTTTAATGTGGGAAATGTACAAAAACCTAAGCCCTAAAATGGGAGTAATAGGTAAAACCAAACAAAAACTCACTTCCTAAACCCAGAATATCCTGCCTCTGCCCACATCCCCCTAATGTGAAATGGTCATTCACACTTTAAATCATCCTGTTCATTATGGTCTTTATTCCCAACAAACATAACTGCAATCCCCTCCTGCAGAAGGTTGCCTATTCTTTGCAACTTTAATAACTTTGCAACTTTAATAAGATTTGTATGCCGCCCACTCCCTAGGGCAGTGTTTCTCAACGTTCCCAAACTTGGCAACTTTAAGACTTGTGGACTTCAACTCCCAGAGTTCTCCAGCCAGAAGAGCTAG